ACAAACGTGTAAAAATTTGAAAGTGAACCTGTGTTTGTCACTTAATATCAGACCCACAAACTGCATATGCTTTCCTTTCACTGATCCTCCATGTCTAGTCCAAATTTTGCTAAAACAGAAAAAATAAAAATCTGGATAATTGCTCTGCAGATGCTCGACACTGCCCAGTTTGTTCTAAGATCTTTGAGTGTAAAGTCACCTTCTCTTTACAATTTATCAAAAGTCTCCTTTTTTGTAATTAACCTCATGTGGAATCTTAATATAATTATTTACTGGCTTTTAGGTAATTCTCTTTATTTCTGTCTTCTAAATGAAAGAAGAATTATACAACCATTGAGTATTTCTGGAAATGTCACTTCTTATGAATCTTCCAGTCTTGTGGCATAAATAATTACTGCCCTCTAAAGTCAATTTCAAACAGTTTAGTTGTTATGTGTAATGGTAAAGTTACACTTTTTTATTGTATTTTGAATAGTTAAAAGAAGCACATATTCTGTTCTATTTTGTTAGAAATAATCACTGTAGTCCATTTCGTATAGCAAAGTCTTATACTGTAAGTGTGACAATGATGTTACATTTTATTGTGCTCTTTTTTTGAGTTGCCTATTCCAATGTATCTTTTGTCTAATCTGCCAGATATACTCTTCCCTGTACTGTAATTCTTTAGCTGTCTATTTCATCATACCTCCTTTCAAACCTGTTACAGCCTAATAAATAGAAGATACTGATCTAATGAAAGTAACTTCACATATTCCTTGACCTTCTTAGGCCACGTTATCATAGCTCAGTCTTCTAAGTTTTATTGTGATGTGTTAGTTTTAACTGTGGTCTTAACAGGTCTTAATTAAGGTGCATTGGGCTTCACTGATTAATGAAGACTATTCATTAACCAAAGTAAATATATTTACTTTGGAAAGTGTATGTTAACTGAGCTTAGTAAATAACTTGGAGCTGTGTTATTTTTGAATAGTTATCTATAGAAAAAAATAGGATTTTTTTTTACACATAATTGGATTATTAAAGCAAATACAGGGGTTGATTTACTAACCTTATAAACACGCCACAAACAAGTATACACCTCTGTAGTGTGCTCCCTCCCGGCATGATCTATTGGTGGAATCTAGACACCTTTGTAGTGTGTACACACCCAGCAGGTGTGTTGTGCAAAGCCCTGCATGAATTACAAGGTGATGTTGTGTAAATTAGCTCTACATTGTGTTGCTTGCGTTGATGAATGCAGGAATGTAAATGCATGAGCTAACCATTTTTGTCTAAACTGTGAAGCAGCATTATATATGCATCATGTGCATGATCTTTCCATATATGGCATTAGTGGAAATATGCTTTTAGAGACTTTTTGGTTGATAAATACGCTTTGCTGTGTAAAAATCACACGCACCTAGTGCGTGCGTGTGTTTAGGTTAGTAAATCACACCCACAGTGTCACATTTTTTTTTACTATAGCTGGCCATACACTGCTCTACTTTCATCTGATTCCTGCTGAATTGACCAAAATTAAAACTGTGAGTGGCCATGTTGGCACATGCAGACACGGTTTGGGTAGGAGCAGTGGCTGCTGTATACAATAGCTGGCAGTGGGGCAGTCGTTCAGTGACCAGTCTATAGTTCGTTTCCATAGCTGCCATTAAATTTAGGCATTTAAATGTTGGGCAGTACATAGCGTTGGTCGGCTGCACCATCTAGACCCAGGGCATGTCTTCCATTTGTATGTCACAGTTGTCATGCTATGAGATTCAGACCTCACAGAACCACAGGGTGATAAACCAGGGTTACCTGGGAAGTTCCCTGTACAAGGGTGTTAGTTAAGGAGTGAGAGGCTGACGGTCTATGGAACAAGACAGAAAGGGCAGAAACCCAAACTTTGATAGTGCTTCTCCTTCTATGTGATCATGACATGAGGAGAGGCTCTGGGGAGTTTTCACTCCACCAGTAGATCATCATTTAGGACTCCTACACCATTTTTAATCCCTTTGAAGAGGTGCCTAAAACGGTGAACTGCTATGAGGTAGGGATTTGTGACACAATCCCTCTTGTATCCCTCACAGAGCACAAACTGCATCACTCACAAATAAACATTCACTGCAAATCCTCCTATATTGAGCACAAATCTACTGACTTGGGCAGTCCCATAATAGCATATGTCCACCAGCCATTATTTTTATTTTTTTTTATTGTTTACATATTTACAGGTTTGTTTTTTTACAGTAAAGCAAACTTGGGCAGGGTCTGTAATTTAAACATTTTAGCAGTGTTCTTAAATCAGTGATCTGTTTGTAAGAGCTTGCAGAGGAATGTGACCGCAGTAGTCTGTTTTTTGGCATAACATGCTAGGGTAAGCAAAGAGAATAGTGTTCTGATTCATACATAGTAAAGAACTGGTGAAAACAGCCCCTTCTTTCAGTTCCTGGCCTTGGTGTCCCAACAGTAACATATTTTCAGCCACCATAATGTATGCATTATATTCACATATTTACATGTTTTCCCTTGTAAGGCCATCTCTGCCCAAGTCAAGCAAACATGGGCACAGACAGCAATGCAAACTGGGTAAATAAAGCCTTAGGTATCGCAATAAGGCTTGACAAAGAGGCTGAGCCTCGAAACGCGTAGCCAGGTTGCTGAGATCTCCTTTTCCCTTTACTGCTTCCTGCATTCACCTACATCCACCTGCAATACCTTGTTGAACCACCGGCCATCAGTCCTGATATAGTACATGCAAACATGATTTTCTGTGTTTTAGAGTCGCTCGGTGTTCACACACCTCCACCAGCCGCCGCAGCTCGGCCTGGCCAGCCGAGTACGTGAGTCTGGTTGCTTCCCCACTCACACCCCAGACTTTCAGGAATTTAGTTCCTTTGCACATCATTCCCTCCAGTCCAGTCACTTGGTACCTAGATGCCAGTCGCCATTCCATAGGGGATTCCAGACAAGAACACAGCCATCATAATGTGAGTCATCATTTTTATTAATAATCATTTTTCACCATTGTTGTCAGCACTTCTATGGTAGTAGCGGTTCTTTTGGTTTTTCATGTATTTCAGTTATTGCTGATATACACTCAAACGTAGTCCTAACATGGATTCTGCTTCTACCAGTCATTTCAGGCCTATTACTTCTTGGTAAAAAAAAAAAAAAAAAAAGCGGGGGCCCCAGCCAAAGCTACCTAAAAAAA